ATTTAGTAAAATTTAAGCTAAATGCGTGACCTCTCCGAGTTCGAAAAAGAGCAAATTGTTGGAGCTCTCATGGCAGGAGCCTCGATCACGGTAACTGCTCCGATGAGCTGCTTTCGCTGGTTCCCAGACTTCATGAATTTAAGCGTTCAACTAGGCTGGCATCTCGCTCTCACCCTTTCACTGTCGAAACGATTAAATGTAGCCGTCTCTTCTACTCTAATAGCTTCATGTCTCGCACCTCTCGCTTGTGGAACTCCTTCCCCTTTTCCTGTCTCCCTGATAGCTATAATTTCCAACTATTCAAATGCAATGTTAATCGACGTCTCCAGATGCCTCGATCTATCCTCTATCTTTCTCTTCATCCTTTCCTCTATCACTCCTCTTTGCTTTTGTTCCAATTCTCTGTAACCCCTTGCGTGCTAGTGGCTTCCCGCCTTGCTTGCAATGTAACGCTTAAAAAAAAGAAAAGACTTTAAGGTTAAGATAAAACAGTATTTAATTACAACCGCAAATAAATACTTAACAATAACAAAGAAGTAAAAGTCAACCAAAGATAATTAACCATTTCAGTGAATACTTTGTTAGTAGCGCGGCTCGGCTTAACGTCCGGTAAATCTTAACTCAAAACCCAAATCATCGACGCACAATAATTCACACTAATTCGACTGGATAGTTCCATGCAATAGTCACTCAATAATCACTACAGTCAGTAGCCTGACACCGTTATTTATACACCTACAGAAAACATATATTCATACGTCTAGAGTGTCACGGTCGAACCTCGATGTCGGTAGTTACTCATTTTCTTCCTATATGACACTTTTCTATAAATATTTTAATGGCAACTGTTCTGATGAGCTTTTATCCTTAATTCCTTAACTGCATGACTTTAAGCAGGCTACTAGATTGGCAACTAGGTCTCACCGTTTTACTGTTGAACTAGTTAGATGCAACCGTAAGTTCTATCCTAATAGTTTCTTTTCTCGCACTTCTTCTTCCCTGACACACCCGATCTTCCAAAAATGAAATGTAACGTCAATCGCCATCTTCTGATTTCCTGAACCCTGTTCCTTTATTGTCCTTTCCTCGCTTCTCCTCACTAAAATTTTCTCATTCTCTTTCACTCCCTCTAAACTTCTCAATCCTTGTAGCATCATCGCCTTGCTTGGAGGGAAATGATAAAAATATGGACACGTGTGTGTTTATTGCAATATGGAGACTTGTAATAATGTATAATCACATATACCGGTATATTTAGCAATTTGTTTTTCAGGAAAAGACAATTGATTTCATTATAACAAATTTGATTAGAAACATTAAAAAGCGTCCTTCAATACAAATGTTCTAAATTCGACGTGTTCCTTTTATCAAAGGCCTTATGGAATTGAAGCTTTCTAAATTTATACGAAAAAAAGAAAGGCCGGTGTTCTTTCTTCTCTCCCGATGATTCAGATCAAGTTAAGAAAAAGAATCAAATTGATTTTTGATTCTTTTACAGAATAACAAAGATCAATTTTATGTTACAACCTGATCCCTGACGTCGTCTCAATCAATAATTGCTCTTCTAGATTAAGATGGACTCTGTATTTTAGAAATTTTCCAGATTAAATACGACTTGAAATCTAAAAAAAAAGGATTTTATTTTTTTAGATATTTCCAGATTGAGCTGATTTTTTTCCAGATCAAAATGTATTTTACACTTTTGGACATTACCCTATTGAGCTGCAATTTTTATATTTTAAAAATATCCTATCGCTATCATATTTCTGGAAATTTCCAGATTAAGATGGATTTAAAATTTTTGGAAATTTCCAGATTAGGAAGGATTTTCCATTTCTGGAAGTTGTCAGATTAAGATGGATTTTACATTTCTGGAAATTTCCAGCTTAAGATGGATTTTACATTCGGGAAATTTCCAAATTATGATGGAAATTTTTTTGTTGGAAATTTCCAGATTGAGATGGGTTTTACATTTCTGAAAATTTCCAGGTTAAAATGGGTTTTACATTTCTGGAAATTTCAGAAAACTTCTATCAATCACCTGAAAGACCCCTTCCTGCCTCCCATCAGTATGGCTGATGCTAGCCTCGATGAGAGTGACTCGTTGCACCTTCTCGGGCGAACATTCTCGGTTGACATGTCGTGGGAAGAATATATTAAATCCTTTGCGAGGTCTGCTGCTATCCCCACCACCTGAATCTATCTTACATATATAAGTCTATCTTCCGTCCATGTCCTGAATATTGCCACCACATTTGGCCCGGTACTCCTGTTGTATAGAGATTCTTGACAAAATCAAAAGAAGAATCAGCAATATAATTGATCCTAATCTGGCATCTCGGCTTCAGTCACTTCCCTACTGCCGTAATGTCACTTCCCTTTGACTTTTCTATGATAATTGTTCTGATGAATTTACCGATTGTAATACCCAGACTTTCTGAATCTAAGCGCAGTACTAGATTGGCAATAAGGTCTCATCAATTTACAGTTGAACTGGCTAGATGCAACCGTAAGTTCTATGCTTACAGTTTCTTTCCTCGCTGGTGGAAGTCTCTTCTGGCTCCATACTCTTCGTCTTCATTTATGTGCCGATTACGACCCTCCACATTGTTGACCATGTTCGCCAAGTCTATTAATATAGAATACAGCGCAGTACGTAATCTGATCAATGAAACAACGTTAAAGATTAACACTCACCAGCAGCGGTTCCGGAATTATTCAGTCTTCGATATCAGAGGTTGGCAGTGAATATTCGGAAAAAAAAACATGGCCGCCTTTATACACGTCGCATTGAATATTTTGAGCCTTCTGATTGGTTAACCCTTTTATTGGTGAACTATAAAATGAGTCAGCTCATTTTGGCTGGCCTACTAGTACTAAAGGGTACCCAAAAATTCCAACATACATCTTCCTCTTCATTGTAGCTCTTAATATTGCTACCATCTATGGTCCAGTGCTCCTACTGTATATTTAGTGATTCTTGATAATATCCAAAACAGAATCAGCAATATTATTGGCCCTGAACTGGCATCTAAGGCTTCAGTCATTTCCCTACCGCCATAATGTCGCTTCCCCGTACATTTTCTATAAATACTTTCATGGTAACTGTTCGGATTAACTCTTCATTATGATAACTAGACTTTATGAATTTATGTGCAGTTCTAGATCGGCAGCAAGAGCTCATCAATTTAGAAATGAGTTGGCTAGATGTAAACGTAATTTCTTCGCTAGCAGTTTCTTTCCTCGCTTGTGGAACTCTCTTCTGGTTCAGTGCTTTCCAACCAACTTTGATCTTCAAAAATTTAAATGCAATACCAATCGTTATCTACTGTCTTCTTGATTCTTCTTCTTCTTCTTCTTTTATGTGCAGTTCTTTGATCTTCAAAAATTTAAATGCAATTATCAATCTGTCACCTTAATTCCGGTTCTTTTATTGTCCTCTCTCCTTAAAAATAATTTTTCTCAGATAATTTCACTTCCAGTAACCCCCTTGTGTCTTACTTGGGGTGAAATAGTTAAAAAGATTTATCTATTTCAACTTTTCTTTTATGGTTTAGTTCACTGTGTCGTTCTAGACAATTTTTACCTCCAGAATCTATCTTACATATTTATAAGTCTACCATTCATCCATGCCTTGAATATTGCTGCCATATAAGGTCTGGGGCTACTGCTATATATTTAGAGCTTCTTGAAAAATACAAAGAAGACTCAGCAATATTATTGGCCCTGACCTGGCATCTAAGGCTTCAGTCACTTCCCTACCACCATAATGTCGCTTCCCGGTACCGTTTCTATAAATACTTTCATGGTAATTGTTCAGATTAGCTCTTCATTATGGTAACTAGACTTCGTCATGGTGTCTAGATTTTATGAATTTAAGTGCAGTTCTAGATCTCATCAATTTAATAATGAGTTGGCTTGATGTAACCGTAATTTCTTTGCTAACAGTTTCTTTACTTGCCCGTGGAACTCTCTTCTGGCTCAATGATTTCCAACCAACTTTGATCTTCAAAAATTTAAATGCAATGTCAATCGTTATCTCCTGTCTTCTTGATTCCCTCTTTTTGTTCTATTGTTCTCATTCCTTAATAATATTTCCCTTTTGTCTCGTTCTTTCGCACTAGGCAACCTCTTGTTTCATAATGGCTTTACTAACTTGCATGGGATGATCTGATAAAAAAAAAATATCCAGCTCTCAAAACAGAAAGAATAGGCGATTTCACAATAAGCGCTCGAAAAACTGGGATAATTAAAAGATGCCCTATGCAATGCATTTGATAAGATTTAGAAAAAATATTCATCGAAGCAAAAATACTTTTCATTCATCCTAAAAAGTTATCATAGGAAAAGATTAAGACAACGCCATATTGTAACGACGCCACAGAAAATATATAACAATGGGAGCAGCAGAAATAATAATAATAATAATAATAATAATAATAATAATAATAATAAACAATAATAATAATAATAATAATAATAATAATAATGGGTTAGGTCAAGTTTCCCGAGAATGTTCGATGAAATGGAAATAGTTCGGACGCCATTAATTTCAGCGGCGCCATTTTCCCTGTCATCCCATCTCCCCCCAACCACCCGCAGACACTGGAGTGTAGCCCCTTTTCTAAACAGGCCCCCTTTTCTCATTGTCACTCTCGTTCTGACCCTGGAAATAAAAGCGAAAGAACAAAGAAAGGAATATATTTTCTTTCTCGAATGCATTTCATTCGTAATTCTCGAGTTTAAACAACAATTTGTCATCCTAAATAACCGAAGGAGGGAAACAAACAAAAGAACAAAAAAAAAATAAATAAATAAAGAAATGAATGAATAAAATAAAATAAACAGAAGAAGAAGGTCAATTGATGAAATCCATATCGTCATCGGTCTGTCGGTCAGTTTGTCGCTTTCTTTATCTCATTTATTGTACATCTGCTTAAGCGTGATCTTGTTCCAAGTTTTTCATTTTAGCACACGTTCTTTCTCTTTGCGGGATTGGCATGCGCGTGCGAGAGTTGCCCAGGAGTTTGTCTCTATCACGCATGAATCTCAATAGGGATCTATCTATCTATCTATCTATCTATCTATCTATCTATCTATCTATCTATCTATCGCAGTTTGTTCATTATCTATCTATCTATCTATCTATCTTAGTCTGTTCGTGTACAACTCAGTCTTTTCATATCTATCTGTTTCAATTTGTTCATATATATCTAAGTTCATTATCTATCTATCTATCTATCTATCTATCTATCTATCTATCTATCTATCTATCTATCTATCAGTCTGTTTATGCATAATTCTGTCTTTTATATATAGAGAGATAGATAAATAGCACTTGCTTCCTTTATACATATCTCAGCGTATTCATATCTATCTCTCTATCTATCTCAGTCTGTTCATATCTATCTATCTATCTATCTATCTATCTATCTCAGTCTGTTCAATATCTATTTCAGTCTGTTCACAATTTATCTATTTATCTATCTATCTATCTCAGTCTGTTCAGTCTATTTCGGTCTGTTCATATCTATCTATCTATCTATCTATCTATCTATCTATATCTGTTTGTTCATATATATCTATTCATTATCTGAGCCTGTTCATGCATAATTCAGTCTTTTTTCTTTCTCTCTCTCTCTCTCTCTCTATATATATATATATATATATATATATATATATATATAAATATAGAAGTCAACACTTAGAGGCGACAGTCTGTTTCATGCTATATGCAATCGTCAGGCCATATAGCATGAAACAGACTGTCGCCTCTAAGTGTTGACTTTATGTTCACTTTTATATTTACCTCTCTATCTCTGATATTGAGCACTTTATTCCATAAATATAGCACACCTTAAGACTATATTTCTTTTTATATATATATATATATATATAGATAGATAGATAGATAGATAGATAGATAGATAGATATAATGCGTCAGTTCTTTCCTTGATATCTATCTCAGCGTATTCATATCCATCTATCTCTGTCTGTCTCTCTCTTTCTATATATATATATATATATATGTGTGTGTGTGTGTGTGTGTGTGTGTGTGTGTGTGTGTGTGTGTGTGTGTCTGTGTGTGTTTTGCAGGTCCATGTTGTCTCTTTTCATTGTCTCTCTCGTTTTATCCTCATAAAGATGCAGAGAGGGCACTTGAGGAGTTTTGGTCAGTGCTTTCATTGTAAAGAATTTGACGCTCTAATCTGTCGATGTTCATAAGGAATACATGACCTGCTCATTGAGATAGGTCTTTAATTGTATTGGCTTCAATGCTGTTGGTTTGACCGTTCTCAAAAGAAATACGAAGTTGAAGATATAATCGTTGGAATTTTGGTTCCACGAGCTGTTCCTCAAACGTTTGATGAATCTAAGCAGCGAGGACGCTTATGTAATGCCAGCCCTCGTATATGGTATTAAATGCAGGACACATGAAGAAGGGACTTGAAATAGCAGAAATGTGGTTCTACAAAGGGTTGCCCGAGAATACCGTGGACTGAACATGTGAGCAACTAGGAAGTTTTAAGGAAAATGAACGCTTATATTTAGAATCAGAAAAAGATAGTTGAAATTCCTAGGACATATAATGAGGAAAGAGGGCTTGGAGATTTTGACACTCACAGAACATACTGATTGCAAGAGTCACAGAAGGAAACGGCGAGTCGCCTACCTAACGATCTTGGGTAACTTGATGACAGTACAAGGAATGGAAAGTAGAAATCTTACTAATAGCTACAAAGGATAGGAAGTTGTGGAGAGACATTATGAGGACACGGCAGTTTAACGGACTTTTAACATTATTCCTTATGGGGAATATATTTTAAAGGGAAGTTGAAGCTGAAACTATTTTTTTAATTATTACATCGCAAGCAAGGCGATAATGTAACCGAGGCAAGGGGTTACTGGGAGTAAAAGAAAATAAGAAGGACAATAAAAGAACAGGATTCAGAAAAAACAGACGATGGCGATTGATTTGGGATTTAAATTTAAATCACAGGAAGGCAAGAAACCGGAAGGAGATTTTCAAGATTAAATTCCCCAAACATTTGGGTAACATTTTAGATGTAGAAGGTTGATTGTTGAGAGATTTGACCCTCATTCGGAACTTCAGACCGACCTTTACTTTTTTTAGTGTCATTTTGCTATTCTAATCACTAAGCCATGCCATCGGATGCAGTTCTTGTTTGTAGAATGTCACATATCAGGTAATTGATGTTAATATTTGTATTGCCCTTGTGTGGACCATTTCACGAGAGAAAGGCGACTTGATCCGAGTAGAGGTCACCTTTCTATCTTTTTTTTTCTTGATATTCATTTTCTATTGTGTTTTTGTTTTGTATCTCGTCTCTCTGAGGTCAATGATCTTTCCCTATTTTTCTCGCTCTTCGTACGTCTTTTGTTATTTCTTCATTGTTTTTTTTTTTCTTTTGTGTTTTCTTTTTCAATTCATTTCTCCCCGTTTTTCTATTCCCACTTCTTTCTTTCTTTCTTTTTTTACGCTTTCCTTTCTTTTTTACTATTTCTTTCTTTATTTCTTGTTTCTATTCTTTCTTTCTTTTTCTATCTCTTTCTTTTTGACTTGTCTCCATTTTTCCTTTCTTTCTTTTTTTACTTTCTTTCTTTCCAACTTGTTTCGACCATTTCTTTCTTTTTCTTTATCTTTTGTTTCCATTCTTTCTTTCTTTCTTTTTCTCTCTTTGTCTTTCTTTTTGACTTGTCTCCATTTTTCCTTTCTTTCTTTTTTTACTTTCTTTCTTTCCAACTTTTTTCGACCATTTCTTTCTTTTTCTTTATTACTTGTTTCCATTCTTTCTTTCTTTCTTTTTCTATCTCTTTCTTTTTGACTTGTCTCCATTTTTCCTTTCTTTCGTTTTTACTTTCTTTCTTTTCCATTTTTCCATTTCTTTCTTTTTCTTTATCTTTTTTTCCATTCTTTCTTTCTTTCTTTTTCTCTCTTTTCTTTCTTTTGACTTGTCTCCATTTTCCTTTCTTTTTTTTTTTACTTTTTTCTTTCCAACTTTTTTTCGACCATTTCTTTCTTTTTCTTTATTACTTGTTTCCATTCTTTCTTTCTTTTTCTATCTCTTTCTTTTTGACTTGTCTCCATTTTTCCTTTCTTTCGTTTTTACTTTCTTTCTTTCCAACTTGTTTCGACCATTTCTTTCTTTTTCTTTATCTTTTGTTTCCATTCTTTCTTTTTCTGTCTTTGTCTTTCTTTTTGACTTGTCTCCATTTTTCCTTTCTTTCTTTTTTACTATCTTTCTTTCTTTCTTTCTAATTTGTTTCCATTCTTTATTTTTTTTGCATTCTCTCACCAATTTTCTTTTCTTTCTTCTCTCTCTTTCTCATCTTCATTCAATCATCTTTCGCTAGTTTTCTCTCTTACTCTGTCCTATTTTTCTTATTTATATATTTGCTCCTTGATCACTTTAACTTTTCCATCCCCCCTCTCTCTCTCTCTCTCTCTCTGTGTCTTTCTTTCTCTCTCACTTTTCTATCATTTTTTCTTTTACTCTTTCATCTTCTCTTCATCTTCATCCTCTCTTTTTTAATCTCTCACTATATCAAACTTTCTCTCGTTCATCAACCACTGCCAAACTATCAGCATCAGCCCCTGACGCCGAATGAATTCTCGAGAAATCTTAATAAAAAGAATATTCGCCTTCTGTCATAATTTGAAAGTACGTCCTCCTTGGCAGACGAAACCGTCGTTAGATCTGATGGGCTTTAGACCGACTCAACGAAGAAATTTTGCCAATCAAACAAGGCTGAATAGTGAAAATCAGACAAGATAAGTAAATATTTCACTTTATTAGAAGAGAAAGTGGGAAGCCACCTCACGTCGGAGAGAAAGAGAAAAAGAGAGAGAGGGGGGATAGAAAATAGGGTACACGGAAATCAACATTGCATGGTTACTGTCAGTTACAATCTTCAATACAATCTTCAGACCTGACTTGATTAGAGGATTGCATTGAAGCTGACAATATTCAGTCACCCACCCACCCACGAGGGTGTCATGTGGCACAAGGCCTTTTTAACGTGGGCATTCCCGAGCCATTAGGCTCGGCCAAAAAATAGCCCATTTGAACCCGTATAAACGGGTTCTGGGCCGGTTTTACCTCCCCGAAGGAGACTCCACCCTTCGGCGTAGCCTCCTTCGGGTTCCTCCCGCCCGTAGGAAGAGAGTTAAACCGAACAGTCGGTTCAGAGATGAAGCTGACAGTCACCATTCAGTGTTGAATCCTATGACCACACTAACTATATCAATAAAAAGTTACATTTCTGCTACTGAGCACTATTCCGCTATATAGAAATGTCTAAACAATGTGTGTGTGTGTGTGTGATCATATACTTACTGGCACATTTACTGTATTTGGCTTGAACCCATGGCTTAGAGGCTTTTTTTATTGACTAACAGGTGACTGCTGGAATCGTCGCCTCAATTTGCTTACTAAAACATCGTTCAACAAGGTTGGTGTCAGGGAATGTACTAACGACATAATATACTAAACAGTATCGTCATTATCAATTCACAAAATTTTGAAGCTTGAAACGGGTGATCAAGTGTGCTTGTTTTAAAGTCATTGTCAAGAAGGTTTTAATGTTCAAGAAATGAAGTTTTGCATCGACTGATCAACTTGAACTTTGTTGAATACAACCCGATAAAGATCTGGTTAGAATTACGCTCAGTAGCCTCGTCATAAAATCAAAGTATCAAACTACAAATACAGATAGAGAGATAGATAAATAGATAGATAGATAGATAGAGAGAGAGAGAAAGAGAGAAAGAACGAATAGCTGATAGTAATAAGTGGGTGGTGAATAATAATAATAATAATAATAATAATAATAAGAAGAAGAAGAAGAAGAAGAAGAAGAAGAAGAAGAAGAAGAAATCAGATCGTGCTCTGATAATTAGAGGTTAATGAAAAAAAATATTTAAAATCGGCGGTTTATTGAAATTAGCGGATTAAGAACTCGGCCATAGCGGATTAAATGGGATTAGTTACAAGGTGAATTTGTGAAGGTAATTAAATATGACCGATTGATATTTACAAGCTATCAAACTCGTCTTGTGAAAATCCACAATGTGGAGAGGCTTAGCTCATTGGGTGAAGACCTTTACAGTAAAAATCAGTCAACTTTATTTTCACTTTCTCTCTTTCTGACATCTTTGTGCATCGCGAAATGCATATGCGATGACGTATAGATTTGTCGCCGTCCGTACGTGCGTGCGTGCTGAGGTTATATATAAGCTTCTGCGTGGAACTGCTTCTAGGCGAAACGAAAATAATTAACCGATGTCTTTTGTTTGGATTGTCTAATCTTTTCTGTGAGAAATCGGAAAGTGACTTTGTTTTTTACTATTATTTATTTATTCATCTTTCCTCTGGCATCCTACATGATACAACCTACAAGATACCATCCTACATGATACCATCCTCCACGATAACACCTACATGATACAATCCTACAGGATACCAGCTACATGATACCATCCTACATGATACCATCCTACATGATATCATCCTACATAAAAGCATAATACATGATACCGGTTACATGATACCATCCTACATAAAAGCATTATACATGATACCAGCTACATGATACCACCTACATTATACCAGCTACATGATACCATCCTACATGATACCAGCTACAGGATATCATCCTACATAAAAGCATAACACATGATACCGGCTACATTATACCATCCTACATAAAAGCATCATACATGATACCAGCTACATGATACCATCCTACATACAATTACCTACATGATACCATCCGACATTGTACCGCCTACATGATACCAGGTACACGATACCATCCTACATGATACCACTTACGTGATATCAACTTATATGACAACAACTATTTGATACCATCCTACATGATACCATCCACATGAAATCATCCTACATGATAGCATCCACATGATAACATCCTACATGTTATCATCCTGCATGATACCATCCACATGAAATCATCCTATATGATAGCATCTTACATTATACAAGCTACATGGTACCATCCTACATGATACCAGGTACATGAAACCATACCACATGAGAGCACCTACATGATACCTCATACATGAAACCACCACAGGCAAAAAAGAAGGGGCAGATACCACCTACATGATACAATTCTACATGATACTATCCTACATGATACCAGCTACATGATACCACCCGAGGCAAAAAAGAAGTGGCAAAGTAAAGGAAAACATGGGCTGACAACGTCACTGAACATACTTCGCAAAGATTCCGACACTGGCACACAACCGAGATACATGGAGGGAGCTGGTCAGACACTCAGCCGCGGAGCGACCCTAAAACCACACCCGGCCATTGGAGTGATTATGTTGATGATGATGATGATGATGATGATGATGATGATGATGATTAATATAGACATGAAGCGTTCATTTGTCTCAGGACCACATAGTATGACATAAGAGAATTTGAAAATTGTTTGATTACATACATTAGATGATTTTTTATATAATTGATATACACTAATGGTGAAAGGAGAAATCTGTGGGAGACACATTGTTTCCCCCCCCCCCCATGATTCTTTCAAACTAAGAACCAGCCAATTCAGTTTAAGCATGGATTGGATTTAATGCTTCTACAACTAAGAAAGATTCGCTTATCACCCAGTTCACACTCCTTCCCCGCCTTTTGAACAAGAGTAATGGTTTATTCCTTGTTTCCTGTTTAGGATTGGGCTTCCGCTTTTTTCTAAATTCATACTATTCTCTTTCACTTCCAGTCACCTCCTTGCGTCTTAATGGCTTTATTGCCTTGCTTAGATTGAAATGATTAACAGCAACAACAACAACAACAACAACAACGACTACAAGAAACAATTCAAATCTCTGTTGCTTTTCAAGTATATCCCGGTCAATATAGTAGGTACGAGGAACAAAATTTGTACAAGAACCTTGGCGTTTCCTTGTTGGAAGATGCCTCAGGCGCTATGGATTTACCCTAACACTCTCTCATCGTATAGATTAATAGCAGTAGATAGGTTTGCGTATCACCCTGTTCACACTCCTTCTCCGTCTTTTGAACAAGAGTAAAAGTTTATCCCTGGTTTCCTGTTTAGGATTCGGTTTCCGGTTCCTTCTAAAGTCCTCTCATTTACCTTGCGTCTTAGTGCCATTATCGCCTTGCTTCGGGAGAAAAGATAAAAAAAAAATCTATTGCTTTATTTGGTCGGCCAAGAAAGACGTAATGTATAAAGAATTGTTTGAAGCCTTTGAAAATGTTCCAGCAAGGCGCTACACCTTCATTCGCTTGTGTTTTTCCAATCACATCAGTCTTGAGATATTCAAGTCTTGAGTCAGCCATTAGCTTTCCTGCACGGACACATGAACTTTATTTCTTGCTCTTTCTTGTGCTCATTCAACAATAACATTCTACCTTGAGTGGCTCTTGGGCCTTGTACTGGGTGAACATTAGTAAATAAAAAAAAGAACTGGGATTAGAAGAGATAAGACAAAACTTACTAAGAGGTACAAAGGACCGGTAGTTGTGGAGGACCATGACCGTCTACATGGTACACAAAAGAAAAAAAAAGAACGAGCTGTTGTAAATGGTGGTTACATATGTTCGCCTATCGTCCGGTTCACACTCTTCCCCGGTCTTTTGAACAGGTGTAGAGGCTTGTCACTTGTTTCCTGTTTAGGATTGAGTTTCTGATTCCATACCCTAAAGTCTTCACATTCACTTTCATCACTCCCAGTAACCCTTTGCGTCTTAGTGGCATTATTGCCAGCTTGGAGTTAAATGATTAATGTTATAGTGAAACATAAATATTCTATTGTTAATAAACTCTCCCATCTATAATAGGTAGGAGTAGTAGGAGTCGCTCAGTGGGTCGGTCAGTCAGTCGACTGGCTGATCGGTTGAACTCTCTGCCTCCGGGCGGGGAGGAACCCGAAAGAGGCTACGCCGAAGGGCGGATTCTCTTTCGGGGAGGTAAACCGACCCTGAACCCGTTTATACGGGTTCAATGGGCATATTTTGGGCCGAGCCCATGGGCTCGGAGATCCCACGTTAAACATCCCACATGATGCCCACGTGACATTGACTGATTTGTTTTCTTGTTTCTTGATTTGCATGTTATTTAAAGCCAAAATATATTTTGGATTGCAAGAATTCTTTTAGTTTGCAAGTGAATATCGCATTAACAATATTTTGAAGGTAACAATGAATTCTACAGATGCAATCCTACTATTTAACTTATAGCTGGGGGAGATAGATT